CTGGCCCACGGTGAGTGACCAAGATGGCATAGCTATTATTTGCTACTAATGTTACTCTTACTGTGTTTGCTGGCTCCTGTGCTTGGCTCCGGGCAAGCCGAGCTCCTTCCATAGCTGAGTCCTCGAAGGGACTCAAGGCACAGCTGAGAAGCAGTGTCATAGTCATGGGGTACACGCACACACAGCCACTGAGCACTTCACAAATACGTGGGGTTTTCTCTTCTTTTTTAAAAATATTATTATTGTTGAATATTTTCTTCCCACTTTACAAACAGTATGTGAACTTTTTATTAAAGTATAACATTAATGAAAGTCTACAAATAACAGATATATTTCATTTTCTATCTTAATTATTTTTAATGAAATTTTCTGTTTTGTGATTTTAGGGGAAGTTTACAGAATAGTTAGGTATTAATTCATTCATTCATTGTTTCAGAGTTTTACCCTCTTGCCCTCCTTTACCCTCCCCCTCCCCAGTCCACTTATTTGGTTTTTTGAAATATTCATCCGTGGTTGCACAATTACCTCCCCCCAGCCCCCAGTCCTCTTTGCAATGTACCTCTTATTCTGGACTGTTGTCATACAAATAATGCCTAATAATATATTCCTTTTTAAACAGTTCTTTCCTTCATCTGTTCCAGTGCAGGGCTCATTATGTAGCCACTCTTACCCTATTCTCCTCCCAAACCCTCTTGTCAAACCTGCTTTGTAACATGCACTACTGTGGTTTAAACCTTCTAGCTATTCTTTGAAAGTAAGATGAGGCAGTTTGATCCTATTGAGATTTTCAGTCTTGGGAAAGCCCAGGACTCTTTCTTATCGAATCTTCATTCATGGGCACTGATTTGATAATAATAAGTTTGTTTTTCATTTTTATTAGTCTTTGAAGGTCCCTCAGTGATGTAATCAGCTTGCATTTGATTGTCAACCTAAAGTCAACAACTTGAACCTGCACAATGTTAGAAAAGCCTGATGATCAGCTTCCATTGAAGCTATACCCAAGAAACCTCTGTGGAACAGTCTACTCGATGTCATATGGGATTGGTGTGAATCAGAATCAACATGTTGATAACTAGCAACAATAACAGCTAGTAATTCCAACAAAAACACTGTAAAGTAGGTTCTATTTTTAATCTTCATTGAACAATCAAGATAACTGAAACTTAGGACCTCAAAACTCATTGCCATACAATTGGGACTGACTCAGAGCTGACCCTTCAGTGGGTTTTTAGATGCTGTCAATTGCATGGGAGGAGATTGCCCACCTTTCTCCCAAGAAGCAGTTGACGGATTTCAGCTACCCACCTTTGGGTTAGCAGTGCAATTCCTTACTGAGTAGGACACCAGAGCTGCTTGAGGCAGAGAGAGGGTAAGTAATTTACATAAGGTCACACAGTTATTAAGGAAGGTGTATAACAAAATTCAAAACGCTATCAAGTCTTAAGGAGCTCTGGTGGCCTAGTGGCAAGAAACTGTGCTACAATCCCAAAGATGCGTGGTTTGAATCCACCAGCTGCTCTGAGGAAGAAAGATTGACAATGTCTTCTTGTGCAATTAACTGCCTCTGAAAAGTCATTGGAGGGTCAGCTATGGGTTGGTTCCAGCTCAACACAACAACAATACTTGTGTTCATAAAAAACTTTTTCCAACAGGGTGAAAAGAAAACCTACTGACTGGGAACAAAAAATTGGCAATACCATCTCAGACAAGTGTCTCACAATGAAAGTTTCTAGAATACTCTTGGACCTCCACAAGAAAAAGACTGATAACCCAATTAAAAGATGGGCAAAAGGCTTGGAAAGAATTTTCACAGAGGAAGATAGTCAAATGGCCAACAGATACATAAAGAAATGCTCCAAATCACTGGCAATAAGACAGAAGCAAATCAAAACCACAATGAGATACTATCTCACCCAAGTAGTGGTGACAACTTTAACAGGACAGTACGTAATAAATGTTGGAGAGGATGTGGTGAGATAGGAACTCTTTTACATTGTTGGTGGGATTGTAAAATGGTACAACCACACTGGAAAACAGTTTGGGACCTCCTCAATTTGCTAAACAACAACAACAACAAAAAAGCTAAACAAAGAAATTCCATATGATGCAGTTATTCTATAGTTTGGAATATACCCCAAGAAAAAGAGAACAGAGGCTCCAACAGAAATTTGTACACCAATGTTCATAGCAGCATTGTTCACCATCACAAAAACATGGAAATAGCCCAGATGTCCAGTCACGATCAAATGGATTGAGAAGTTGTGGTACATTCATACAATGGAATCTTATGCAGCACGCAGGAGCAATGATTTTGTAAATTGGTACCTAAGTTGGGAGGGACTGGAGAACACTATGCTGAGTGAACTAACTCAGTCCCACAAGGACAAATACTGAATAAAACCATTATTGTAGAATGAGTATGAGGATCCAAGGTGGGGGGAGGGTGGAAGTAGAGGGGTGAGGATGAAGGGGTAGGGTGCTAATCATAGGGCTGCACAATTCGATGGGTAGGTGAAGTGAAGGAAATGGGAAGTATCTTTCGTGAAAAATAATGTACTCAAATTTTGTAAATAAATAAAAATGTTGTTGTTGTTTTTGTTGTTGACTACCTTCGAGTCGAGCACGACTCATAGCGACTCTATGAACAAAAGGCCTGAAGCCTTTCTGTTACTATTGACATTTATGAAAGTCCATGAATTTCTGGAGTCATGTAGTGTATGCAATTAAAAAAAAAAAATAAAGAGTTGGCACAATAGGTTAATCCCATTTACTTCCTCAGGGGGGCGACAACGGCTTGAGTCCTGGGGAAGCACAGTTTATTTGTGTGAAGGAAAGATGAGAGGCATTTCCTCTTTCATACTGTTTGTGCAGAGGGATACCCACCCAGCCTTTGTCTCCCAGGGGCCCAATGCACCTCTATTTTCAAGAGCAGATTTTTGAAGGGTTGTGAACAGCAGTGTAGGAACTGATTTAGCCCTTAACAATATCCGTACCCACAAAGATTTTCAAATATTCACATAAAACAAAACAGTAATTTTAATATTCCACCCTTTAGTTCTTGAAGACCAGAAGCTAGAATAAGTATTCTTAACCTTTAAGAGGGTCTTTGGGTGGTTGTTGTTGTTAAGTGCCGTCGATTCATAGGCGACTCATAGTGACCCTATTTTCATCCTTTCTCCAGTTACTTAGGGTTTTTTCCAGAGGCAAGCTACTTATGGAAGTGGATGCCACTCCTGCTTCCAAGCTTGTTTTAATCGGGGAGCTCCACTAAACACTGTCTACCATTGGTAACCGTTATCGCATTTGACACATCAGTGTCACAGTGTTCGGCATCAGAGAGACCACAAGTTACTTCTGTACAGCAAATGGACAGACCAGGGCTATACGACCTAGAAGACTGAATAAAAACAGTGAAAAACAGGCCTGAGGGCCACGGATTAAAAGTCACCCACCTTTGGCTTGGTAGCATTGCTTTCAGTCCACTAGGCCAAGTGCTCTCTCTCTGTGCTGTTAAGTGCCCTCAAGTAGTAGGCAACTCATAGAGACCCTATTTTCATCCTTTCTCCAGGTTCATAGGGTTTCCGGAAGCAAGCTATTTATGGAAATGGATGCCACCCCTGCTTCCAAGGTTTTTGGATTAAAACAACGGCAACAACAAAAACAAACCTAATATAAGCCATAGGCAACCCAAAGGTACTTGGTTCAAATCCAACGGGAGAAAAATGAGCAACCTTTTCCTGTGTGATTTACTGCCTCTGAAAACCGACTGGAGGGCCAGCTATGAGTGAATTCTGACTCAACAGCACATAACAACAGCAACAAAGAAAGAATGTGCTTATAGATATACGTAAAAAGAATGCTTTTTATTTCAATCCACCATTTCAGTTCAGCACCATTTCAGCGGTGCATAACTACAATAAAAATAAACAAAAGAAAAAAATTGAACTAGTTACTATCAACTTGATTCCTACTCATGGTAAACACATATACGCCACAGTACAGCTGTGTTCCAAGGCTGTGACTCTCCAGAGTCGACCCGAGCTTTCTTCTGATGCACCTCTTGGGGCAGAATGGCCCTGAACTACCATCCTTTTGGTTAGCAATTGAATGTTTAACTCCTGGCATCACCCAGGACTCCCCTAGAGCTGTAGAGATAGCCACAAATGCAAAGGATTGGCAACAGGAGCAGCATCAGTGACAAGGTAAAGGACTCAACAACAGGAGTCCTGGCTGCCCCAAACCCGTGGACACCAGAAGCTCAGAGAAGGCTCCCCAAACCCTCTTCTTGACCCCTTCAGCTGGAAACTAATGCCTGATAAACTGCTCCTGGGCAAACAACAGTTTTACTTTTCCACTCTTCCTCCTTCTACTCTTCTTCCTCTTCAGAAATCCTCATTCTTGAAGTTATTGCCACATTCACCTGGTTGGGAAACCAGACTGTAGCAACACCGGTAGGGAGCCTTTGTCTCTGAATAGCCCGAGGCTGCGGTGACTGGCTGACTTGCCTGCTATAAAAGGGAGCTGTCCCACTCAGTGCTCAGTTCTCTGCCAAATCTGCTTTGAGGAGACCTGGTAACTGGGACTGCTGTGGGCTATTTCTTATTCTGGGCTTCCCCTAGGAAGAGTCAGGGGAGCAGAGCAAGGGAGCAGGTGAAATCTCCTGCAGTTCTAGAGCAAGGAGGAGAGGGGAATTGGCAGAAGGCTGGGGAGTGGGTTCCACCGAGCTTCTTTCTAGTGAGTTTCGTATGCTGGGTCTTATTGGGTAGATGGTATAGAGAGAACTGGTGGGCAATTGTATGTGTGAGTCCATCTATGTGGACCCTCCCTCTCCAACATCTGCATCTCACCCTTTCTGTTACAGTCACAGTCACCTTCTGGATAAGTTATTTGAATGGTGCCAAACATTATTTGGGGGGATGAATCCTCTGTCCCCGTCCTCTCTTTATTCTGGGCATTTCATGTGACTCTCTTCTTCCAGGTGACGCAAAACCTTGGGCATCATGCTGACTGAACTGGAGCAAGCCATAGATTCGCTCATTGATGTCTACCACAAATATTCCCTGAAAAAAGGGAATCCTCATGCCATTTACAGGGATGATATGAAGAGACTCTTAGAGACTGAGGCTAACAACTATTTGAAGGTGAAGGGGGTGGAGGTGGGGGTTGACTTTGCTGCTTGCTTGTGGTGGTGCTGGGAGGACCTGTGTAGACTGCCTGCCTTAGCTTTCTCTCAGATATTGACTCTCGTTTTCCCCCTTAATCCTGACAGAAGAAGAGTGCAGATGCCTGGTTCAACGAATTGGATATCAACAGTGATAGAGCCATTAACTTCCAAGAGTTCCTCATTTTTGTGGTAAAGATGGGTGTGATAGCTCATGAAGATATTCACAAAGAATAGCCTGGATGCTGGGCTCTGGACTGGGCCCCTGGACATGAACTTGCATACTACTAATAAAGTAATTGGTGTTTTGAACTATCTTAGCCTTTTGGTCTTTCTCTTGTGGGATCAATTTCCTGGAGGTGAGGGAAGATTTGGAAATTAGAAGAAAGGTATAGAACCTTTTTAAGCTCTCCCGCCCCCACCCTCACTGCCCCATTTCCTACCTCTCCCGAGCCTTCAGTCCTTGTCACGTGTCTAGTTTCCTCCATGCTTTCTCAGTCTCTTCCAAAACCCAGATCTTGAGTCATTGCTTCCAAGGATTTTAAGCATCCATGATACCACAGCTGATGATTTTCCTAATTGTTTCAAAATGGATGGTTTGTGGCAACAGAATGATATAAGAAGAATTAGTACTGCTCTAGAAGCTTAATTTTAGTTCCAAAAAATGTCTTAGATGTGACTATTGGGAAATTAGGAGGATAGCTACAACAAGGAGAAGAGATAGGGAAGAAGAGAGGAAGGGGAAGATGATAGATAGATAGATAGATAGATAGATAGATAGATAGATAGATAGATAGATAGATGCACTGACTGAATGTGTGGCTTTTGGTGGTAAGGAGGTTAAACCATGTAGCTGCTAACTAAAAGGGCTGAGATTGGAACTCATCAGCCACTCTGTGGGAGAAGGGTGTGGCGCCAGCTTCTGTACCCTATGAGGACATTCTACTCTGTCCTACAAGATGTGTCAGAATAAACTTGAAGGTGATCTGATTTGTTTTTTGAGAGAACTGCCCCCACACTTGGATATTGTTCTTAGAAACTTCCCACTTCATTTCTGCTTCTAATCTTTCAACTTAATGAAATAATAAAATAATTGGAAGGTTATTTTCGTTCTACCTTTGAGTTAGAACTTACTCATAGCTAGCCCTCGAGTGGGTTTTCAGAGGCAGTAAATCACAGGGGAGGAGACTGCAGATTCTACCATGAAGCAGCTTGTGGATTCCAACTGCGTGCCTTTGGTATCGCAGCTGTGCTTCTTATCACTCACTGACAGAACAAGAGGTTGGTAAAACTCAACTCAAAATAGAAACTTCCCAAACCTGGCATCTATGCTCCATGATTTAGTGATTCGTCCAGCATAACTTCTCAATCATTACCTCTATAGATTTTTCCAAGGGTCTCGTAAGGTAGAAAGACCAGAAGATGAACTGGTGCCTCTCACCAGAACCCAACCCTGGCTTTCCATGCTGGGAATTGGGAAGTTTTCTGTGCTCCCACTCAGAAGATGGAACAATGATGTTAGCAGTGGCTAATGGGTAGAAGATTGCTAACCAGAATTACTGATCAAGGGTTCTTAACTTAGTGTGTCTGTCTGTCTCTGCAATGAATCAAAAGCAAGTAAACATGTTTGAGTGTATGTAGCCAAGCACATTACTCCATGGCTTGAGTTAGATTTTCAAGAGAATCAAAAGACCCCAACATAATGACTTTAAAAAAAAAACAAACAAAAAAACACCAAACAACAAAAACTTGTTGTGTACAGTTGAATCAGATCTGACTGGCACAGGAGGAGATTGCCCCTACTTCTCTAGTGGAAAATCTGGTGGATTCGAACCATGTGCTTTCAGGATTGCAGTGCAGCTTCTTGTCACTAGGCCACCAGAGCGCCCAATAATAACTATTATTTTTATTGTTTTATGTGAATAGCTGTACTCTTCTAGGAGATATATGTTAGTAGAGACAAAATCACAGAGAGCTCTTTTGCTTAGTGGTAAGGAGTTTCACTGCCAACACAAAGGCACATGGTTCAAATCTGTCAGCTGCTCTGAGGGAGAAAGATGGGCAATCTCCTCCCATGCAATTTATTGCCTTGGAAACCCACTAGAGGGTCAGCTATGAGTTGATTCCAACTTGTTGGTATACAACAACAATAAGGGCTAATTCAGTTCCTACCCTGTTACCTATTCACCTCCTCAACTCTGCTCTATTAAGCTAAGGGTGTGCTGGGCCTCTGGATGACAAAGGCCAGGCAGAGTCCCTCAGTCTTGGTCAAGGCACTCAGCTTTTGCTCGGGCTGCATAAACAGCTACAGAGACCCTGCAACCCTGTCTGAGAAGAAGCCCTGGGCCCTTGGAGAATGGTCCCTTAGATGCCAGAAACCTGGCCTGTAGAGAGGTATCCTTCTTTGTAGTGATGCTGAGGATTATACTCAAGGGGAGAAATTAAAAATAAAACCATATTCACTGCTTTCCAGTTGAGTCCCACTCATAGGATCCCCCAGTGGTTTCTGAGGCTATAAATCTAAAGGGGAAGAGAGTGTCTATTTAGCTCTCTTTGGGCAGTTGGTGGATTTGAACTGCTAGAGATACATGACCTTTTGGCAAGCAGCATAGCACACCACCACACTTTGCTATCAGAGCCCTTTATTAAAGAGGTGATATTGTTTTTTACACAGTCAAGTCAAGCACCACTCATAGCAACCCTATGGAAAGCAGATGTGAACCATGTCCTATGCTGTGCCATTCTCACAATCCTTGGCACATTTTTAAGCACATTGCAGCAGTCACTGTGTCAATCCACTGGGATGAGGGTCTGTCTCTCTTTTGTTGTCTCTTCACCTTTCCAATCATAATATGCTTCACCAAGGAATAACTTCTCCTAGCAGTATGCTCAAAGTGTGTGACTACAAAGTTTCATCATATTTGCCTCCAAGAAGCTCTCTGGCTGTACCTTTTTCAAGACATATCTGTTTGTTCTTTTTGCAGTTCATACTCTTCTTCAACTTCACAGTTTAAAGACATCATTTCTCTTCTGTCAACTTTATTCATTCAAATGCATAGCAAATGACTAAAAAGACCATGGCCTGAAATAGACACATCTTAGTCCTCAAACTGGCATCATTACTTCTCAATAATTTTGAGAGATTCTTAACTACAGACTTTTCCAGTGCAATACATCTCCTTATCTCTTGTAAGTGTATCAATTGTGGATCTAACTAAAATGAAGTCACTGACAATTTCATTTCTCCATCTATCATAAGCTTGCGTACCAGTTCAATGGTGAGGATTTTTGTTTTCTTGACACTGAGGTGCAATCTGTATTGAAGGCAGCAGTGTTTAACCTTCTGCAGCAAATGCTTCAAGTCCTCCTCACTTTCAGTAAGCAAGGTTGTGTCATCTGCATAACAAAGTTTGTTGATGAGTCTTCCTCCAATTCTGAGCCACATTCTTCTTCATAGAGTCCAGCTTCTGTAATAATTTGCTCAGCATGCAGATGAAAGAGGTATGGAGAAATGATACAACCCTGACACACACCTTTCCTAATTTTAAACCATGCAGTTCCTTCAGGATTTCATGAGAGGCAACTCCTCTTCACCAACAAACTACTATCCAGATTGACTTCCTACCAGTACTGCTGATTACTCACTTTAACAAGGGAATTTCCCATGCAGTAGACTTTAGTCTTATTAAGATGCAAATGAGCAGAGAAAGGCAACAGCCTAAATCTTTATTCATCAACACTTTAATTACCTTCCAGTTTATTGCCAGTTGATACAATAATAAGAACATTACCAGCCAGTTGAGAATTAAAACTGCGTAAAAAACCCAATGTGCTTTGTATTTTCATTCAAATCACTTAACAAAAAAATAAATGAGCCTGGGGAAGGAGGGAAGGCGAGAGAGAGTGAGTTGGATGAAGTGGGGAGAGAATTAAGATTGGGACTAAAATGTGGGGGCAGTGAAGGAAATGGGAAAGATCTGATGTGAAAAACAATGTATTTGAACTTTGTAAATAAACCAGTTTTTTTTAAAAAAAAAAAAAGTCTGGCAATCAGAGTTTGGGGATAACTCCTGCCAGGGCAAAAGGAAAGACCCAATACTAAGTCATTTTCTTCTTAGCCTTCCTGAAGTATAGTCTTACTTGTCCCTCTATGCCTATGCATTACAGAAATGGTGATTATGTAATTTTGAGAAGCACCACAGAGCTACAATTTCCTCTGAAATTTCTGAGTGGTATGAATAATGAGTCTTCTCAACTGGTAACAGAAAGTTGGGAGGCTCAAGTGTCTGTACGCCTTACAAAAAAGACCTGACATTCCATTTCTGAAATACCAGCCACTGAATACCCCATGGAATTATAGTGGTGGAATTCTCACCATCTGTGTGAGGGACCTGGTCTGGATTTTTTACCAAATGCCCCATATGCAGAGTCACCACCGAATCTGTTGTTGGAGGTTTGTGTGTTGCTCGGATGCTGAAAGGGTTTCAGCAGAGCTTCCAGACAAAGACAGCATAGAGGAAGAAAGGCCTGGTGATCTGCTCTTGAAAACATGTCAACTGGGGGTGGAGATTGTGGAGAGGAATACCCCATGGAGCACGATTCTGCTCTTGACACATGTGAGGTTGCTATGATTTGGAGTTGACTCAACAGCAATTAGTCCTTGCATGGTTTCTTCCAAGTACAATTTCCTTCATCTCATAGTTCAAAGAGATAAGGACAGGCAGTCTCCTGCCATGTGATTAACTTGCTCTGAAAACTACTGGAGGGCCAGGTAAGGGTTGGTTCTGACTCGATGGTACTCAATAACGGCATAGTTCAAAGCTGAGCTGTGAGCCCAGATGTAGCCCAAGTAATAGATTACAACGTTCCAACAGCAACAATCGCAAAAGCTTTAACGACAATGCAACACAACTCTGCCACTCAGTGATGGACACTAATGTGCGTAGGGATTTGAGCGGGTGAGTAGGACAACATATGCTCGTACACTGAATATACGTTATTGGGCTTATTGTTAATGTGAGTGTGAGTTTTGGGGGGAGGGAGAGGGGTGATAGCGTCGCTAATTATTGATTCTATTTGCCTTTGGTTAAAAGTCCAAGGAGTCAGGATTGACTGTGCTTATTTTTGGGGATCATGGGGAAGGTAGCCCAGAAGAGCACCATAAGTGAATGGCACTAATTGTAAAGAATTGAGTTAACAAAAAATTGGTCCCCAAGCTCTTGGTTGAGCAGGGGAGG